TTTACAGTTGTGAGTTCTTCTGTGACTGAATGAGGTTTTGGTACAGAGTGCATCTCTCTTCCTGGACTAATGTTACGTTTACAAAAAAAGAATTGGAGCAAACCATCTAGTTAGATTTTGTGAAAACCTTTTTAACAAATATTTCTTAGTTAGAACCTTAGGGTTTTGAAGAGGTCTGTAGAAAACCAGTCTAAAAAAAACAAATATCTATTTTGCTCTTTGGATAATGTCGCTTTGCAGACAAACAATAAAACTGTAATCACTGAAATTTTCAAGTAGATCGCTTGCATATTGAAAAATTTCTGCTGGAAGCATTTTTCGATGCTATATTTGGACAGGCAGTCTCAGTTTAAACTGCCTAGAAAAGTTTTGCTATGAGCTTTCAAATTTTTCTAAATGGTGCACTTTGACGAGAACAAAAAGGGCTTTATAAATAGGTGCTAATGACCTTCAATTTTATGTTGTTCCTGGGAGTGGCGTGAACATTATCGCCGCTGTCCACGTAGACAGAGGCGAACAGCCGGAACAAAATTTATGAAGCACACTGCAGAAAATCTCTAGTTCGATGCAGTTTTAGCTACTGATCGCAAATCTGGCCTTGATCTTGCGTAAAAGAAGACGACAACTGAAAAAAAACACTTTTCGCACGTTCTATGCATTTTTAGACATGACTTGCTTTCGTTGAAGCTGTAACTCAAGTTGGCTTTTTCTTTCAGATTTTCTGCACCACATTCGATAGAGAATTGCTCAATGTAGAAAATGGTGGAATAAAATTTGGGGAATTGGTGTCTAACATAGTCAAAAGAACAAGAAACTGAAAAAAATGATAAGTTGAAAACGAGCAATTATTAACAAAACCGTTTTTTTTTCTATCAAAAAAAGAAAATTGACTAAACGTTTTGCCATGGATGTATCGTGTTAACTCTCCTTTTCAAACAGTACTGGAACCAAAAAATTTAGCTGGATGGGTTTTAAGAAATTCGAAAAATGCGGTGCAATACTAAAAAGTTGAATTTTTTTTAAAAAGTGAATGAGTGGAAAAATAAATGTGGTAGGCACTTGGCACTTTCGATAAAAACGTTTTTAAAAAATCTAAAAAGATGGTTTGTCTCTGTTTTGTCAGGACTTTCAAATGAAATGCACATGAGCTTAACCGGGAAACCATCAGGTGCCGGCTAAGGTCGGTATTTTAGCAGACTCCCTTAAGGTCTTTTAATATGAAACTGGCACCTTATTAGGGACGTTCGGTTCTCGGTTCTCAGCTTAGAACCGGAGAAGACTTTGTCAGGCAGTAACAATTCAACAAAATAAAATTCATTTTCTTGTAAACCAAAGATTCTTTTAAATAATGGCAGGCAAATATATCTTTTTGCAGCATTATCAATAGTGTGTTTGGATTTTGTTAAGGATACCTCCCCTCTTTTTGATCAAAAAAATCGATTTTTGATTTTCGACCGATTTAAATACTTTGTGCCCTCTTTTAAATTAGAATAGTATTAAAGTCTGAAACAGGCGAGAAAGTGTTTCTAGGTGGCTTACAGAAACCGTCCTCGAGAACTTTTTTAATTTTCTCTTAATTTGGATGAAATTTATACGTTTTATGCTTATAAAAGTTACATTTTCTGTATGTTATCGCTCTTCCCTAGTGAATGTACTCAAGTGTGAGTACTCAAAAAGTACTCTGCTTGAAAAACTGGACGAGTACTCATACATATTCATATATTTTTTTACTCACTGAGTACTCACCTGAGTGAGTAACAAGTACTCTGAGTACGACTTTGAGTACTCATACCACTTTCGGCAATTGTTCATCTGATGTTTTTATATAGAGGAGTGATCTAAGGTAGCCAGAGTAGGACTACAAGTCTATCTTTGACTATATAAAGAGAGACCAGTGAGGAAATAATAATATGAATATTCTGTGTTTCTTCACTAAATTCTACATTCTTTATACAGTTTCAGTTTAGCAAAATAAAATGGTGAATGAATATTTGCTGAGTACTCACTGAGTAACAATGCTCAGAAATTGTTAGTAGTACCAATATGAGTACTCATGGACGAATTATAAGTAAAGTCGTACTCATCGTATGAGTACTTTCACTAGGGTTGCTTTATCCGATGGATATGTGCAGAGACATGTGCCGCACGCACAATAGCGTATGGAAGCATATGCGGATTTCACATTTCTCTTACGAGGGAACATCCCGAAGTGTCCCCTGGAATTTTGAAGAAATACATGGGGTCTGGTAGAGCTAAGTGCGCTGATTACGAACACGATATTTTTAGCTGCCACCGTTAGCTCACTGCTGATTTAGAGTGGTTTTATTTTACTTTGGTCAAAAAATGACCTATTTTCGATCGATCACAGTTTATTGCAGATATCTTATTCACATTCGTTTGATATGCTATTTTGTTAAGGAACAGTTCATCTACAATTTACTATATGGGACATAACAATGCGACGTATAGTATTCGAGAAACAAATAAGCATTTACTGTACACGTATCTTTTGTTATACATCGTACTTTTTTGCTCTTATATTTCTGTACAAAAAATAATTCTGTATTCTTAAAGATGTCAGTTTTGTAGTGAAGTCAAAACACTTTCTTATGATACAAGTAACGTTCATCATTCTGATTCACTTATCCATTGACTGGAAAGGAATCCCCAATATCAAATTGCTTCTACAGAATAAAATAATTATCTTACTTGTTCACATTACATCCTGAAGAACATTCTCAAGAAGCAGCAACAAGCAACCACTACGACAGTTTCGACGCCCATCGTTGTTCTTGCAAGACAAGAGATAAATGAGACACATTCCCAGTTCTTAAATTCTTATTTTTAATCACTCTCGTATTATATCTAGACGTGTGTGTTTGTCTGTCCGCTAATAACGAAGGAAAGTACAATCGAACAAAAGGAAACTAGAGCTACTGAAGGGAAACTAAGGAAAACCGAAGCAGATGAGGAGAAACCGATGGAAAACTACTGTAAGCAGCTAAAAGCTTGTTAAAACAAGAACTATTACGCAACAATTTACACGATGCTTGTCTCGCTGCGCGCCTTCGGCGCTTGCTTCGATGCGCATTCCTTAACTGGCCGAACTTTCTTCTGACCGAAGCAGATGATCACTTACCATGAGCTAAAAGCTACTTTCGTTACACATCTCACTGTTATGATGCTTCCCTTGCTGACATAATTACTAACCGGAAATTCTCCTCTGTTCTGAACCACACATTTCTGACTCGATTGGCGCCTCCAACTTTCTTTACTACTTGCTAACCCTCTCATTCTGAAGACCAATAACAAGATTAGATCGGCAATACCAAAACTAATTTCTTGTCAGATTTCGAAAGAAAAAAACCGTATCTATGACTAAATAATCGGAGCTACCTTTTAAACAAATACTTGTCGGACCAAGCCGAAAAAAAAGAAAAAAGACACTTTTTCTATTGGGCACAAACTAGCCACCCAAAAAATGTCCATGGAATAACAACAAAATCCAACGAGCGTCTGCCATTTAGGCTATGTTCACACTACGACTTAAGCAGCTTAATTTTTTCGCCTTAAGGATTCTGATTGGTGCCTTTACGAAGAAAAAGTTAAGACACCAATCAGTATCCTTAAGGTGAAAAAATTAAGCTGCTTAAGTCGTAGTGTGAACATAGCCTTAACCAATGCGAGAACAGCCAATTCATCTAAAAAAAGAGAGACTCATTTTTGCAGAATTTTTCTAGTACATATTATAGTTGATATCAAGATCTATTAGAATCATTATTCATAGTTCTCTGACCAGAAGCCTTTACTGAGATATCAGTGTTGTTCAAAAAACTATTTGTCATGGTAACAGCGTTAAAATTCTTAGAGTTGTTGAAGTACTCGGTTAATATGCAGATTTTTGTCACAAGTTTGGATCTCCATATTATTGTTCAGCCAAAAAAAATGATGGAATGGTCTGCAGGTTCTGAAAATGGCTCCTTAATCTCGTTTACTTATATAAGATCGATTTTTTGAAAAACAGTGATATCTCACTAACGGCTTCTGGTCAGAGAACTCTGAATATATATTCTAAAAGGTCTTGATATCAGCTATAATATGTACTAGAAAAAGTTCCGCAAAAATGAGTCTCTTTTTTTAATTTCAAGTGTATTGGTGAATACCCAACTGGCTTCTGATTGTATGAGTCATCGTCGTGTGTCTACGTACCAGATAACAAAATCAAAGGGAGAAATAAAAGAGATATCTTTTTGCGGGATCTTTTTTGCCCGATTAGGAACGCTTAACTAAGGAAGTTTTCGGAACTGACAACTGTTGATTTGTAGGCGTTAGGTCTACAGCGGCTGACTATTTTCCTGCCAGTATGGGGATCAGGAATAGAAGCAGATGTACGTGCGTTGCTCGACCGTAAAAGTCACAGTCCGTCTTCTGCTTTTAATATTTTTAGATAATAAAAATAAAAAATGGTCGAATCCGAAGTTGTTTATAACAAGAAATTTGATTGTCTTCGTAAGTTACATGTATTTCTAAAACGGCCAGACGGAACACTAAACGGCACACATATGTGTTTTGTTTTTTTAGAAAAAATCATTGATTTTCTAGAAGAAAACGTTATAAAAGAAGAAAATTTGGTGTCTCTATGCAAGTGCCTCTCCAAATATGACATTTCAAGACAAACTCAAAAAATTCGCTGAAGATGGTAAAAAGGTCTCTGAAATTATTTATTTGTCACTGACTTTTACAATCTTTCTAGGTCTCGATAAAAATAATGATACAAGAACAATGAAAGCTGTTGGCGGTCATTACGTGTACAAGCTCGAAAAAGATGGGAATGGATTAGAACAACTTAAAGTTACAATGCCGATTAAAAATCAATCAGAAGAGAATAAAGAAAAAACTGAAACAAATAAGCAGTGCTTTGTTTTAACGTAAGGGTGAAATTAATCATTCTTTTTTAATTTTAGAAACACGATTATTGCCAACACGAAAAGAACAGATTGCATTAATTGTTAATTTGGCAATTGAACACTTAAAAAGGACTGGTCATTCGATATCAATTAACATGTGTGAACACGTTGAACAGAACACATTGGATTGAACGGGAAAAAATTAATTATATTTTAATGGCAATGGAATGAATAAGCATCTGTAACTGTTTGCATAATTGTTTTTTCTATTTTTCTAGTGAACGTTTACATCTCATTGGTAAAAATGTTGAAACTGGCAAAGATGAAGAAGATACGGCTAAATCATCTCGAGCAAAACGAAAAACAACAAAAGGTAATAAAGAAACGATTAAAAGGAAAGACAAGAAACCTGAACGGACATAGAAACAGCAGCAACTACCTGAAAGAGAACTTCAAAAAGATCTTCTCATTTTCTGCTACTTGTGCTCATATAATTGCATGTCTACATCTCTTTTAGCAGCAACAAATGCTGGGACAAGTAATAATCAAGAAGAAAAAGAAACAAGTCTACCAAAAGTGAAACGGTATATTATCATCGTTCATGGTATGATTGTTGCATAACCTATTCTTTTGTTCTAGCGCTTTGAAAGAATTAATAGATCCGCTTTCGAAGAATTATACCATTGAAGAAGGGAAAAAACGTCGTCGTGATCAGGATAAATTTACACGATAACTGGAGCAAAATCTCTATTTTTCTTTCGTTTTTGGCCACTATTATTGTTTTATGTGTGTTGTGTCCTACTTTTTGTTGTGCTGTTTGTTTGGACACTACTATTTTTCTCTGTGACGTTGTAAATAAAAATGATTCTAGATAGATTTCAACGAACTAAAGTTTCAGTTTTGGCTTAGGTTTAACGTAGAGTTTGATCGTTTTTAAGTTTTTTTACGAAACGAGCCCCTGTACTGTTAGATTTACTTTAAACAGTAATATATGAATTCTCTAGAAAAATATATGAAGTGTACATTTTTACTCTAAATATTTTGTATTCAAAATGCTAACTTGATTGAATAGATAAAAACAGTAGGACTGTCAAACAAACCACAAATAAGCCGATGTTTTTTGCCTTAACGAACTCCTGTTCGATAATAGACTTCGTAAAATGGCCTTTTTTTGTCTTAAGGGGGCTTCCCCCATTTAGATTTTTCTCTAGCATTCCCAGTTTGTAGAGGATACTCCGAAGTATATATCCTGAAGTTTTTTCGGCTTGCTGACATTATCTGGCTGAGAAAAAAATTAATTACTTAAAAAAATATTGTTAAATTTTTGAACAAGGGACTATTATTACAAAATTTCCTATCCATTCTCCATTCATCATAAAAACTTGATTCTTGCCTAAATCGATAGAGAAATGGGTGAAGAATATTTACTACGAGAAAATATGTAAAAGTTTTTGTTCTTTCCTTCCTGTTATCGACTAATTAGTACTAATTGACGTTAATTTAGCTTACTCTACTAGCTTAAAGTCCCATTTGTAAAATAACAGCTCAACAAAAGAATTTACAGAATATCTTATCTGATAGAGAATTTCATGGGCTACAAGATAGACCGCCTTAAAAATTTTAGAATACATTTTTGGCCGCACGGTACGTCGGACTTTACTGAGAAAAGTGGGAATTCGACCTTTAATTCGCAATTTTCCCCATCAGAACTGAACTTTTATACAATGAAAATATCATATTCGGAATCAGTGTCAAAAATCGAGTCGAATGATACATATTTCAAAATTGTTTTCTTGATTTTCATTTTTTGATGAAAATCATGGTAATTGTTCGACGTGAAAACTCAGAAAAAATAAAAGTGATCAAGTAGGATAAGAAAAGTACATCATTCGACTCGATTTCCGACGCTGATTCCGAATATAATATTTTCATTATGTAAAAGTTCAGTTCTGATGGGGAAAATTGCGAATTAGGGGTAGAATTCCCACTTTTCTCAGTAAAGTCGACGTACCGAGCGGCCAAAAATGTATTCTAAAATTTTTAAGGCAGTCTATCTTGTAGCCCATGAAATTCTCTATCAGATAAGATATTCTGTGAATTCTTTTGTTGAGCTGTTATTTTACAAATGGGACTTTAAGCTAGTAGAGTAAGCTAAATTAACGTTAATTAGTATTAATTAGTCAATAGCAGGAAGGAAAGAATAAAACTTTTACATATTTTCTCGTAGTAAATATTCTTCACCCATTTCTCTATCGATTTAGGCAAGAATCAAGTTTTTATGATGAATGGAGAATGGACAGGAAAGCTATTAAAACTATATTTTTTAGAATGACAATGTAAAAAATAATTACTGTATATGAACGATTTTTAGTTTCATTTAACCAATGTTGTAAAACAGGATTATGTCTTGATAATAAATTAACAAGTTGAACAAAATTACTTTCTTCATCCGTATGTCCTCTAAATGCTATATCTTGACGTGCTAAATAACGAGCACGCGCAATTAGTATTTTAATAGCTTCTTCATTTGATTTGGCTAATTGAACTTTTTGCTGTTGTTTTTCTTGTATTTTTTTATCTAATAGAATATCAATATTATTTTGACGATGTCGAAACTTCAAATAACGTTGTAAAGATGATGTATGTGTTTCACTTTTAAAGTATGTTTCAAATTTGCCACCACGATTTTGATCTTTGCTACCTAAAAAGTCAATTAATAAAACAAGATCTCTGTCATTATTTTGTAACCAGACTACACACATTTTTCGAAAAGATAGGTTTTTCAAGTTTTTGAGCTCTTCTTAGTATTTTGCATTTTTTTTTCATCAAAACTTTATTTAAATTAAAAAAGAAGATCGGATTCGTGATCAGCACCTCATGACGGATCCGAATATGTGTGTTAAGACGAAAAATAAAACTTGTGGAAACTGTGAATTACTGGTACCTTAATGTACTTTCCATTGATTCTTGTTGATTATTGATAGATGAAGTAATTTTGACAACATCTGTTCTGGACTGTAAAGGTGGCTCTTCCAGCGTACAAAAAAAACGATGAAATTGATGTTGTTTGTTTTGTTGTTGTTGTATTAATAGCAACATTTATGTTGTCAATACTGGCTTTTAATTTTGATAATTGTTTTTGATATTCTTCTTCACTATCAATACTACTTACAGTGGCGTTTAAAATTTCTAACTAAAACTTGAGTAAACCATAAAGGACAATGTCCAGTTTGATTACTTGACATATTGTGACTTGGGTTTAAATCTTCCAAGCAGAATCACGGTACAATTAAATTAAAAGAAAATGAATACAAAACGAGACCAAAGGTTTTTCTGGTTTCTTTTTTTTTTTGTTTCGACATTGTTCGACTTATAATATAATAATACATTTATTGAAGCCATGATACAATCTATTCTAATTATCTTATCTTATTTATGTACATGACAGAAATTTTATCCTCTATCAAATACAGAAAGAGAAAAAACAAATGCTATACTCTAAAACTGAAAGTGTATGTCTTACTCCGAAAATAGAAGTAAATATCTTACTTTTGAAAAGAGAGCAAATTCCTAACTACGAAACTGAGAGTATGCCATTTGTGAATAAATGTCTAACTCCAAAATTGAGATTAATCGCCTCACTCTGGAAATGGGAATAAGCGCTATACTTCGAAACTGAGAGTAAGCCTTTTGCTCTCAAAATGGGAATAAATGTCTTACTCTGAAAATACAAGTAAACGCTTTACTCCGTAGGATATTCTTGTAAGTTAAAGACCTAATTTTCGGAGTAAGAAAAGCCTGATTTCAGAGTAAATTTTTTCAAAAAGTAGGGGGAATCCCTCCTCTCCCTCTCCTTATCGGGGTGCCTCTGGCTATATCAATATGACTGAATGAAAGTAGCTCTTGAAACAGTTTTAATGCTTGTTGAGAATATTTCAATGCAAGGTTAATTTCATCCATATGGGTATAAGCATTTCCAAAAATTACTGAATGATCTAGCTAGAAAAAGATGCTTCTCTGGTAAGATTTTCTCGAATATTTCGTGTGCTTTTAGAAAATATTCTAACGCTTTAGGATAATCGCCGATGCTGAAGTAAACCCTGCCAATACATTGTAGAATTTGTGATGGCTGTAGAGATGTTCATTACCAAAATATGCTTTAATAATTTTTAATGCTTTAAAATGAGTTTCGAGTGATTTATCATATTGTTCTAAATTTAAGCAGTATTAATACCGAAAAAAATACGGTACACATACCACTCACATACCGTTTACATACCCAAATACCAATTATTCAGTGGACTGACTAACACAACATATGGCTTTCTTAGCTAGCAGATGGAGGCGATTACTAGATTTGAGGCATCGCGCGACGAGCTGAGATTTTCAGTAATTATATATTTGAACGAGACTATTATTTTTCTTCTCTATTCTCTTAAAAAGAACCATTTTGAGACGCTTTCTTGAAAGACGATGTTCAGAGTCTCTTTGGACGCCGATATGGCCATCAATCATTAAAAAATGCCACTCGCAAAAGCATACGTGTAAAGCTCGAAGAGACACTTCAACTATCCAAAAGTTGAAAATAATTTTCAACTTTTGGAATAGACAATCTATATTTTCAACTTTCAAACTATTATTTCAACTATTCAACTTTTGAGATTCTCTCTTCAACTATTCAACTTTTGATATTCTCTCTTCAACTATTCAACTTTTGAGATTTTCTTTTCAACTATTCAACTATTCAACTTTTGATATTCTCTCTTCAACTATTCAACTTTTGAGATTTTCTTTTCAACTATTCAACTATTCAACTTTTGAGATTCTCTCGTCGACTATTCAGCTTTTGAGATTTTCTTTTCAACTATTCAACTATTCAACTTTTGAGATTTTCTTTTCAACTATTCAACTATTCAACTTTTGAGATTTTCTCTTCAACTATTCAACTATTCAACTTTTGAGATTTTCTTTTCAACTATTCAACTATTCAACTTTTGAGATTTTCTTTTCAACTATTTAACTATTCAACTTTTGATATTCTTTCTTCAACTATTCAACCATTCAACTATTCAACTTTTGAGATTTTCTTTTCAACTATTCAACTATTCAAGGTTTGATATTCCCGTTTCGGCTTCGCAATTATGCAACTTTTGATGTTGGCTTTTGAAGTTTTAGACTATTGGGCTTTTGATGTTGTTGTGTCAGCTTTTCATTAGTCTAGGTTTGATGTTGCCTTTTTAGCTTGATAAGGACTGACTTGCGTGATTCAGCTTTTGAACTGTTCCGATTTTCGTGCTGGTTTTGGTCAGAAAAACTTCAACCTTTTTGACGAAACTGGTTCGGTTTTACTGTTGACCTTACGACAACAGTTTTTATGGAAAAATTGACAGATGGGTAGTCGGGAACAGGTGTCATAATTGGATATAATGGTGAAAAATAACATGCAGTGCTTTTACATAAAAGGCCCATCCCCCAGCACGCAGCACTTTTGGAAACATGTGTTTGATTACTGTGTCGCTGACTATCCTCTGATCACAGGAATCTGTGATGGCTGTGATCAGTTGAAAATTGAATAGTTGAAGAAGGTAGGTCTAAGGTTCAAAGCTTTTGATTGTTGAGAAGCGAACCCTCTAGGGCAGAAGGGGGGAGGGGGGAATTGAGAGTGAGTGCACAGATTTGTAATCTAGTTGATACTTGGATTACAATAATGTGAGAAAGAGAAGTTTAATTATTCGTGACTTTACAGAAGTCTCGGAAGGGAAACATTGGCTCTAGTGTGGAGGCAGACTGAAATCCAAGCCTATTACAGCAATCGAAGACGAAAAATAAAATCTTTTCTTATCATTCCCCAAGCAAGACTTTGAAGAGCAGTAAGTGATTCTGAATTATCAAAGTAAAAAATTGCTCAATATTACAGATAAATCTTATTAAAAAGCATCCAGAAAGTTCCCGTTCATTATGCCTACTACTTCTGAGCAACAGCTTAACACAAGTAATCTATATATATTTTGTTTTAATTTTTCAAATTCATCACTAGACATAGATGCACCACGAACAAGTGTAACTGATGGTTCAAATTCTTCAAGATTCTCTTACTCTTTATACAGTTGTGAACATAAATGAATAATAAAAAATCGAACTAAATAAAATCGTTCAATATTTTCCTTACTTGATGCTTTATTTAATTTTTTTATATACAAATGACTATTGTCATTTATACTATTGTATAGCATCTACTGGACGATACTTCTGGTTAAATTCATCAGTTAATTTAAATTGTTTATTATTATTATGATAACGTTGCTTTAAATTATCAATTAATTGTCGTTTAGCATGTTCATCTTCTTGTGGCATATGTAGCAACGCATCTGTTTTTTTAAAAGATCAAAAATTAGCTTAGTGTATGATATAAAATAGATGTGTGCCTGAGTTAACGATATAGATTCTCGTCCAGATGACTATAGACCTTGTGATTCCGCATGAATCAATCAATCTAGATTACTGTTGCTAGAAATTCTACGTTTTCTTTAGACTTTATTATGTCATTCTTAGCGTATATCTGGCCTACTACAGATCCATAGCCATGCGAAGGGGGAAAGACTGTTTTTTTCCGTCGGGACTAGCAGAATAAAAATTTTGCATAAAAGTAAGAAACATCGCCGGATGTTTTAACACACACAGTCTGCAGATGTGCGGAATCCTGCAAGAATTTTAAATAAATTTTTCAGTGGATAATCTAATTGAAACATACATTTCGGATAACTTGTGCTCAAACTTTGAATTTTATGACGAAAGATATAAACAGATGGCTGGAGGACATCTTGAATACGAACGAATTTTAAGTGAGATACGATACAAATTCATTGCAGATTTGGAAACGACAGCTTTCTAAGTTAAAGGACGTTTCAGTTTTTTGAATTTTCCCAAAATTACCAGTATTTTTCTTGTGTTTTCCATCTTGATCGTTGTTTTCCGTCTAAACATTATCCATTTTCATTCTCATTATCAAAAATTCCAGCCCTGTTACTTTTTTTTACGAAGTATCACTTCTTCGTTCTGTTGATGCTGTTATTTTCATGATCTGAATAATGTGAAGCTGTTATAGGAATGTACAAATAAACGTCAGTTTCATTTTCTAATTATAAAGCAAAAGATCTTGTACTTCATGAGTGTATAAAAAATAGCCATCTTTAATCTTCTGACATGAAATGTTAGTAGATGTTTATAATACGTAGGCTTGTAATTTTCTATTTTTACGAAAATAATTAAAAAGACATCTTTTTTACTATCTATAGATATTTGATTCTTAGCATTAAGTTCTTCCTTTCATTACTCGTTCTGTTAACTATAAAACATAGGATGTCTTCTGCCACTATTTCAACTATCAGTGTTCAAATATTTCGAATTTTGCCACCCATATTAATTTTGATTGGTACACTCGGTAATTTCTGTAATCTACTCATTTTCTCATCGAAATCACTGCGAATTCATTCGTGTTCCCGTTATCTATTTGCATCGTCAGTAAGTAACTTTGTTATAATCGCTTTTGGCCTCGTACCAGGAACATATCTGGGAAATGGCTATAATATTAATTGGAGAAACTATTCGAATATTCATTGTAAATTGATTTTCTACCTAAGTTATTCAGCAACAACAATATCATCGACATTGTTGATTGGTGCCTGCATCGATAGATATCTTTGTTCATCATCCAAAGTGAACTATCGAAATCTGGCTACAGTTAGAACTGCAACACGCTATG